GCATTCACCTAATACTACGCAGTCTGCTTCAATTGCTAGCTCAATTGTTGCTGATCCCCTTGTGAAGTTAACAACGACTCAAAAAGATAACTCCTTCTGTCTACCCATCTAAACCCTTCCGTCTACCCAACGAATTTAATCTTACCAAATCATATCATCTTCAAAGGATGATGTCCCTATTCAACCACATAACACTCCAATAGTGCATCGTACCCATTTCGATTACTTTCACATGCTTACATTCCTACTGCTATTTGACCCACTTAATCAATGTAAATAACTTGTTTCAGATCCGCTGCTGCCGCTGCTTCAGTTAATTCTATCATGGCCTATTTTCCAACTGATCATCTGAACCCGTTTTAAGAGGACTGCGTCGATCCTCACTCACGAATAATTTCTACGAATTCACTCTTAATCTCACAATACTCATGCCGCATCTCCTCTATCCCAATGCTCAATAATCCCAAATCCTTAAGCGTTCCTAATCCCACTCCCAATCGCCACGAGTACGCACTGATACGGATCAACACTTAAAAATGACAGCAAAAATGATGAACTCTGAAAAAAAGTTTTTGTAATGATGACAAAAATTGCTTACAACCTCGTAACCGTCTTCTCCTTTCTTTTTTTTCTTTCCTCCTTTTTTCTTGCTTCGTGCCGCTCGTCTTTCCTCCTTCTCGCGTTCCTCTTCGTCCAACTGCTTCTCGTGTTCTTTAAGCAAATGTTCAAATTCTTGATCGCTATCCTCTGTAATTGCACTCTTCAATCGCGTTTCCCCAAATTCCACTTCTAGTAATTTGCTCAAATTAGCCTTTTATACTTCCCTATGACTTTGAATTATCCCTGCATTTACCACTGCCGAGTTATAACTATCATTCCTTTACACCATACCATAGACTATAGTTATCTAGACTATAGTTAAGTACTGATAAAATGTTCCCTTCATAATCTAATCTCATAATACTAGATTGAGTTTTGACTCTATTCATGGACCTATTGTCTCTTTATCTGTCATTACGATTTGACAATTTTCATCTTGTTTCATTCCATATATTCTAACAAATGTTTTCATTCGATACTCGAAAACCCAAGTATGAAATCATTACAGTATCCATTAAAATTTGTTTCCTAGCAAATGCTTTCTTTGTACGATTAACATACACCCTCGCGAATGCTTCACTGATATGACCATTCGATTTCATGTCATTATCCCTCATGTTAGCATGTTCATTACCCCTCATATGCTGTTAAATATTCTCCTTCATTAGGCCACTTATTTATCGCACCTTATCATCTCAATTCAAATCATAAACCAAACTAATCACCATTCATTCAATCCCCTCCAGTGATCATATCAATCCACATTTCCCAATACCATTCCATCTATCGCACTGATCACAATCAACTTCATTTAACTGATCAATTGATCAAATGATCAAACTGTATTAAACACTCCCGCCAATTAACTGACTCTATCACAACATAGTCACTCGTATTACTCTAATTATACTAACTAATGCTGTTATCTCTCATTTTCAGTTGTGCATTCAACGCGAATGGTCATTATTTTTACCAGCTGATGCTGCGATTGATTTCTATTTTTTCACTTCTATCAATCGCTTAATATTGATTTATTCCGGATAATTATTTTAACAAACGTTTACCTATTCTCCTTCTTTTACTTACTTTTCAATTCATATTTCATTCTAATGAATATCTTGCCCGAATTTTACCTACCCATTACCCAATATCTATTCTTCATGTATCCATATCTAAGTCGCTCGATATCTTCATATGGGTTTCGCATAACATTCCTAAGTCCTACCCAATTAAAATCTTGCGCAAGTAACAAATCCACGAATTCACCCTTATGCTATCATTTCATCCAACTACTTATTAATCTACTATTATTACTTTTACTATATTCACCACGTTTCTACTTTACAATATTACTTATAACCGTTATACTATTCATCATTATATGACTATTATTACTGTCACTATTGTTCTTATTCACATTTCAATATCAAACTATTACTTGTATTCATATTACTTCTTATAATTTCAAATAAAATTTTAAATATTTGATATAATAAACACAAAACAAAACTAACGATTTGTGTCATCGTCATCGTCGTCATTACGTTTCTTCTTACGCGCACTGATGCGAATCTTGATCGGTGCCACCACCTTCTCACCGTTTCCAATTGATGACCGCAATTTTTTTGACGAATTCCCTCCGATTGGACGTCCTTGTGATGCCATCTCATCCTGTATTTATTATTATTAACCACAATAGTAATTACTATTAGTTACTTTTTATCATTAACATAATCTTATATATTCTATAAATTATTATTTATAATAATTATAAGTGAATACCTGATATTCACGGTACTTCGCTTGAACAATTTGTTGGACTTTTACCGAGAGTGCTTTTGGATTTGCGGCTTGAACCAACGGGCGTACACGT